GATGATGAAGATGATGATGAAGATGAAGTTGAAACAAATGTCGATGGAAAGTTTCATGTTCAGAAAAACTGATTTCACGATGATGAAGATGATGATGAAGATGATGATGAAGATGATGATGAAGATGATGATGAAGATCACTGAAGAGTTGATACAAATGTCGATGGAAAGTTTCATGTTGAAAAAAACTGATTTCACTGAAAACAAAAGCGACTAAAATGAATCAAAACAACAAAAATGGACGAAACAGGATGTTGACACACGGACGAACGGACGGACGGACGAAGCGGAGCCTTAGATTGAACACCATGCACGGAACTGATGGTGACAACAAGGCCAAGAGAGAGAGGGAGAGAGGGAGAGAGAGAGAGAGGGAGAGGAAGATATGAAGAGAGTTGATAAAAGGAGGTGAAGAGCTTACGCAATGAAAAGAGCACATTAGGGGGCGCCCTGCTGTGACGGCAGAGAGGAGATCAGTGAAGAACGGAGCTCCATGTAGACCAGTGTCCTGGTGGTGTGGAGCCAGGGGCCTCATAACAAACACACACACACACACACTCTCTTTCACACATTGGCCGGGTTAGGAACACTTTCTCCTGTGTGCTCTGGAGGCTGGCGCACACACACACACACACACACACACACACAAAGAAAGACTCGGGGACTGTGGATTAGTGGTTTACAGCGGATTCACATATGTCCAGTTCAACCAATCAGTATTCAAAGCTTTACACTTTCAAATGCCACCAGGAGAGAGCAAAGACCTGCAGCGCTCTCCCTCACCCCTGGCACCACCTTTATGAGAGGGGGCGCTTTTGCTGCGCCAACAATGAGGCGGTGAATACCAGTCCTTACTCCTCCAGGAGAGAGATCTGATTGGAGGAGGAGTGACGACTCAGCACAGGCTGAGGCAGACGTTATTATCTGTGGAGCTGGCTGCTGTCTGGATGGGGGAGAGTGGGGGGGGAGCGGGGGTGAGAGGGTGAGAGGGTTAGGATGTTGAGTTGGTCGTCAGAGTATTTGCAAAGTTATGGTTCAGGGTCCAGATCAGGGCCACCAGACATTAAAGGATCAAGAGTTTAACTGGACGGTTGTCGGTTTGAATCCCGGCCCTTAATGACAGTGCAGTGTTTTACAGATGGGTTGAATACACAGAGCGCCCCCTACAGGTGATTAATAAAGTCAAGAAAAATAATTATGAGTTTTTAATATATAAATAAAAAATGCATTACTATTATCATCATCATCATCATCATCATCATCATCATCATCGTCATCATGGTGGTGTGATGGCTTTGACTGATGACTCCTTCAGAGACAGAGGGGCAGTTTTACGAGGGTCCAGACGTGCAGTATCTGGGTAAACTCTGACGCCCACATGCTGCCATATGGCCAGCAGAGTGCAGCGTGTCGGAGCAGGGATCGGTACCTCAGTCCCAGCTGAGGCCCTGCTCCCCTGCTGCAGCAGCAGGAGCCGAGGCTGAATGGGGGAAAAATTTCCCCGTGCCCAATCCTTCCCTGAGGCAACGACCCACAGGAAACACTCTGTGTGTGTGTGTGTGTGTGTGTGTGTGTGTGTGTCGGAGGATTGAAGCAGGTTTGTTCAAATGATAGACGTCGGAACTAGAACAACAGACAGTGTCACTAAAACTGTCCTGTGAACAACTGACCATGAACCAGTGGAGGACAGGGAGCAGTGGAGGACAGGGAGCAGTGGAGGACAGGGACCAGTGGAGGACTAGGACCAGTCTGACGGGGTCTACCGTGATGGGAGGAGACGGGACCTTGAGGTTCAGACCACCAAAGACGTCTCCAAGAACCAGAAGGAAGATAAAACACAACCACCGTTCAGAGAAGGGAGATGCTCCAAACCCAAAGAACACCATCCTCATAGAGGAGGAGTGTTAGGAACCAGGGTGGAGGAGAGGAGAGAGGAGAGAATCTGCCCCCCCCCCCCCCCCTTCCC